AAAAAAAAAAAAAAAAAAGAAAAGAAAATAGAGAATAATCCAGCAATATAAAGCATATAGAGTGATTCCATAGGTAAGAATGATCTGGATGGTGGTGGGAGGGGCGTAGAGAAGTCTAATGATAATGGTTGCAAAGTTGCAGCTGCTATATTCAGTTGGTTTAGTTGACAAATTGTACTAATGAGATTATGATGAATTCAATTAAGTGGGTATAGCCCCTATTCTGTCTCTCTGTCCAACTGTTATAATTGGTGCGTTTTGTTATAAGTAGGATTGATCATGGATGAATCATTGCAAATTCTATCTTTCACTGTAGAAATAACTTGGAGCACTTGATACACTGATGATGAGTATATGGGACAATTATAGAATTGATATTTATTTCTTCTTTATAGGCCTTCTTGACAATGTAACAGTTCTTATTGGAATTGCTTATGAAGGAAAAGCCATTGCAGGAATTATTAACCAGCCATATTACAACTACCAGGTATTGTTACTCTAAGTGATATAGAAATGTTTTATTAGATAATTATAGTATTATATGATTCCTGCTATTATATAATCCAGTGGTTTCTAGCTTGTTTGCATCTACAATTATCTGGGGAGCTTTTCAAAATACAGATTCCCAAGGCATACCCCAGACCTATTGAATTGGGACCTCCAGGGGGCATTGGAAGCAGGAATGCATACGTATATAAATGCAAGTGAACACTAACATACTGTATGCATCACACGTACTGTTTTTATGTATTCTTTGTGATTCAAATGCAAAAATTTGGGAATTACTGATATGGTTCTTGATTAGCTTGTTCATCAAGACCCCTGATTTATGGGTGGTCCTTGAAGCACATTGAAGACATGAACCATTTCAACCAAGAAAAGATGCTAGCCATGTTGTTGTGCAGGTAATGCTGCATACTACCAAAATTGTAGTGAGTCTTGACAGCAGAACTAAATACACTCTTGCACTCTTTTCTCTTGTTTCTTTTAATCTGCTTTCACTTTGTATTATACTTCAGAGACAATGTGTTCCTTAGAAGCAAAAGAGCAATTAGAATAATTTCAGAGCAAGAATATACCACTAAATCACATTAAGTTTCAAAGGAAATCGTTGAGATAAAATAGGTATTTATATTAATGTGAGCTTGATAGAACTTTGGAGAAACTAAGTAACCAGAGTGGAGATTACTTTTTAATTTCCAATTTGAGTTAAAAGCAGGATTAATCTTTACTTCTAATATATTATTTTTTCCTGCTGTTTGTATGATTATAAATTTTATTTACAATTGTGTGTTTCTTAGGATTTAGCAAAATAGTATACATTATTAGGAAGACCTCTCATATTGAATTGCGTACGTAACAGAACTTTAATGTTCATGCAGTATTACATGCAGACATAAGTTTGTGGTTTTTCTGTAAACTTTAATTACTTAAAAGAAGGGCATTTAATTCATAGAAAACGTTGTAATGCATAGTGCCTTTCATCAAAAAAGAAATCTTAGTACTTAGGAGTTGTTAATAATTTTCATTTTTTCTTTCTGAGATTAGAAAAAATATATTCATTTTCCACAGAACAATGAAAAGGAGAAGTTAAGGGAGCACAGGAATGAAGCAAAGGTGAGAAAAATAGGTAGGGTTTTGGCTCCACTAGTAGGTAAAAAAGAGCTGGGCAATTTGTGGTACCCCAGGAGTCATTGCCTACCCACGGATAGTTCTTTTTCTCCTGTTCTGCGTCTCCTCTTCAGCACTCCTCCCCTTGCCCTCTGTACAAACTGTATCCTCTTTTCCTTCTCTGTTGCTTGTGCCTTAAAATTTGTTGCAACGAATAGAAATAGAATAGAAAATAGAATAGAAAAAGTTGCTCGGCTGTGTCGATAGCCTTCAGGCTAATGATTTAATGTTAAATAATTATCATTGTCATCATAATATCTAAAACTTATTAAGAGCTCACTGTATGCTGCCAGGCTTAAGGGATGCACATGTATTATCTCATTTGATGCCACAGTCTTTTAAGGAAACCATTATCCCTATTAAAAAGAAGAGGAAACTGAGGCAATTAACTTACCCAAGGTCACCCAATTAGAAAATGACAGAGCTGGGATTCAAACTCGGGTCTAAATCTTAACTATCTTACAACTACTCTTTACAGTTCTCTTGAGCTACATAAAAGACTTAACAGTTCAATTCTAAACAAATACTGAAGCTGGTAGTCACAGAAAGGAAACAGCATGGCATGGTACAAAGAAACCAAGTCTATCTTTTTTTTTTTGAGACAGAGTCTCACTAAGTCGCCCTGATAGAGTGCTGTGGTGTCACAGCTCACAGCAACCTCCAACTCTTGGGCTTAAGTGATTCTTTTGCCTCAGCCTGTAGATAGGACTACAGGCACTGGCCATAATTCCCAGCTATTTTTTTGTTATAGCTGTCATTGTTTAGCAGGCCTGGGCTGGGTTGGAACCCACCAGCCTCCATGTATGTGGCTGGTGCCCTAACCACTCAGCTATGGATGCCCAGCCCAAGTCTATCTTTTTATCAGAGAGCTGTCACCCACAGGGCCACACCTCTTCTCAATGTAATCCATTTCCCAGGTCTGACTGTTGCACGAGTATAAAGGCCTGGCATTTCATCCCACTTTGGGATAACCCTGAAGGGCCCATCTAGCTCCAGAGCTTTCCACAGCAGCTGTAGCTGTTGCTGGGCCTGCATCACTGCTTAATTTTTCCTTCTGCCCACCCCTGCTCCCTTCTCCAGGGGTTGCTCTGACCATCCCACCTGTTTCAGAATCTGTTTCCTAGGAAGCCTAACCTGCAATATAAGCATGTTTCACTATAACAGCACCCTGTGTTAGAAAACATTTTGACAAATAAACTCAGTCTAATTTAGTGATGAAGAACATTGTCTTTGAACACAGATAAGCCCAGTGTGAGTTATTGAACTGCCTAGGGCCCTTAGTCAGATTGCTTAATGATTCCAAATCTCATTTTTCTCATCTTTAAGTATGATAATACATATTTCAGGGGCTGAGCACAGTGGCTCACGCCTGTAATCCCAGCACTTGGAAGGCCAAGATGGGTGGATTTGCCTGAGCTCACAGGTTTAAGACCAGCCAGAGCCAGAGCAAGACCACATCTCTACAAATTGCTGGGCATTGTGGCGAGTGCCTGTAGTTCCAGCTACTTGGGAGGTCCCAGCTACTAATGAGCTATAACACCACGGCACTGTACCAAGTGTGACCAAGCAAGACTCTGTCCCCATCCACCCCCCCCTCAAAATACATACTTCATGTGGTGGCTTTGGGGATTGAATGAAGTAATACATGTAAAGCACTTAGTATGGTACCCAGTACATGCTTGTTGTTCAGTTAGAGATATGTCTGTATGTCTATAATTTATGTCTACTGTATTAATATAATCACATTTCGATGACTTTGTTAATCATTTTATATATTGGTTTAACTATGCTTGAAAGAATAGGGTTTTTCCTATATGAAGTATACAGTTATAATAATGTGTTTGAAAATTCTTTGAACTATGCAAAGAAAAATACAGATTTTAAGGTTGCATAGGTTGTAGTATCTTTGTCATTTTACACTGTAATCATCAGTAAAATCTTGATCCTAATCCCATTATCCATGGCTACTCTTCTGTGTCTATCAGCCTATTTTGTTGCTGTATCTTTAGAGCAACAAAATACATTCTCACCATTACCTATTCCCACAGTAACATGATTCTTATTGTTCTTTAGATAATGAAAAGTACTAATCAGTACATGGTGCTTCATTTCTTGAGGACTACAGTTCCTTTTGTCCATGGCTATTTTCAGATATAAAAAAGAGATGATTCAAAGAGAAACAGTAATCAGTATATGATGTTTCCTTTCCTGAGGACTCCAGGAAATTACAAAAAGTTCTCTCCAATACCCCTGAAGCTATTAACCAAAACAATAATGAGAATAATCAGTTGATTTTCCCGGGAAAAGTTCCCTGTCAGTAATATCGTTCTTGTACTTTGTAACATTATCACATTTTTAGTTTTTAAAAATCATGAAGCTAATGTTATGGCTAACATTTTCTCCAAATGATTACAAGCTTTATTGTTGTTTCACTCATTTACATAGGCAGGACCAGATGCCGTGTTGGGGAGGACAATCTGGGGAGTTTTGGGTCTAGGTGCCTTTGGGTTTCAACTGAAAGAAGTCCCGGCTGGGAAACACATTATCACAACCACCCGATCCCATAACAACAAGCTGGTCACTGACTGTGTCACTGCTATGAACCCTGATGATGTGCTTCGAGTGGGAGGAGCAGGAAATAAGGTATGAATAAGGTCTATGATCAGCTATAAAATGCAACTGAATATTAAAGGAAGATGGAGTTTTTTTTTTTTT